GTGGGAGGGAGAGAGAGGAACAGAGAGAGAGAGAGAAACATCGATGTGAAAGGAACACATCGAGTGGCCGCCACCCGCACAACCGACCAGGGCCGGGGACAAACTGCAACCGAGGTACGTGCCCTTAGCGGGAACCGAACCCAGGTCTCTCAGGACCGCAGGCCGACGCTCTAACCGCTGAGCCAAACCGGCCAGGGCTGTTTTTAAAAATTAAGCAAAATGTAGGTCACGGGGCAGAATTTTCATAAAAATTAAATATATAGAGAAAGTATAAATAGACATGTAAAATACTGAGGACACTATTACCACCCAAATCACATGTAGAAAAAGCTTAATACCATTATTGTTTTTGAAGAAATAATTTATTAATTATTTTAATTATGTTTCAGATTACTATAAGGAATAGGTCTGCAGCCAATTATTTCTGTGGAACCATGAAGAAATTAGGCCCTGGCTGGTTTTCTCAGCAGTTAGAGCGTCGGCCTGCAGTCCAGAGAGACCCGGGTTCGGTTCCCGCTAAGGGTGCGTACCTTGGTTGCAGTTTGTCCTCGGCCCTGGTTGGGTCGTGCGCGAGGCAGCCACTTGATGTGTCCCTTTCACGTTGATGTCTCTCTCTCTCCCTCCCACTCTATCTGAACAAAAAAAGAAAAGAAAAAGAAAGTAGGTAGTGTTCTGAGAAAAGAATGAAATTAGTAAATGTAGGGCTTCCATTTCTGGCAGTACAGCCAACCGGAAAACCCGAAAGACTTCTTCTAGCCATATAATATCTAGACATTTTGGATAAAACATAATTAATGTTCTTTTAAACACGTATTTTGGAACTATCTCTAAGGGAAAGAGGGAGAGAGAAGATATTAACAATTTATAAAGTTAGGTGAAGTTTATAGAGGTGCTCTCCGAGCTTTCCCCCCCCCCCCCACATTTCTGCATGCAAATTAAAATAATAAAGTAAAGCCCTGGCTAGTTTGGCTCAGCGGTTAGAGCGTCAGCCGGCAGACCAGAGTCTTGGGTTCAATTCCGTTCAAGGGCACGTACCTCGGTTGCGGTTCATCCCCGGCTCTGGTTGGGTCATGCAGAGGAGGCAACTAGTTGATGTGTCTCTCTCACATCGATGTTTCTGTGTGTGTGTGTGTGTGTGTGTGTGTGTGTGTGTATAAAATATATCTCCCTCCCTCCCACTTCTATTAATTTGAAGATAAATAGAAAAAAATATCCTTGGGTGAGGATTTAAATAATAAATGAATAAATAAAATAAAGCAATAACAAAAATAGTGACAATATAGGCCCCAAATTCTGAACACAATATCATATGAGACAGTAAAGAAGATGAGGAGGTGATCAAAATTAAAGCATTTCCAGATTCTTTTATTCTACAGGAGGGTAGAGATAACTGCTTTCTGCCTCAGGGTAACAAATGGTGATAAACCAACTCAAAAATCTCTTGAGAAATATAAATTCGAACTGTACCAAAGAGAAGGAGCGTCTTCTTAGCTAAGATCGCTGCCATGAATGAATCAAGCTCTGATTCTAGTGGGACCTTTCACATAGTCCCCCTGAAGCAGGAGCAGCTGCAGGAGGCGGTCTGCAGAGCCACCTCCCTTCCTGTACCCCCAGTTCCCACATATCCCTGTAACACATCTTATCATTGGAGGTGATCTGTGCGTATTCCTTTGATCTTCAACAAACTAGCTAGTTAACATTCATTTTCGCAACCTTAAAGTTTATATTTTGGTAAAAATTACAATTTCATGAGGAAGTCGGTTTATCTCAACCATGAGCATCACATCAGGAATTGCCACTTTTGGGACCATGAGATATAACCAACACACCTGGTTCCACTGGTGGCTACGTGATATCATTGCGGTCAAGGTCAAGGACACTTTGCAAACTCAAACCTCTGTAAAGTTATGGCTAATTTACTCTCACTTCTCACTGTGCAGAATGTTAGTTCTGGGCGTCTGGGACTAGGCTTTGCCCGTTTGAGTCTGGGTCATAGAGCACAGGAGCGAAGTCGAAGTTCATGTTGGGGAAGGAACCCTCAGTGGTCCTTCACAGGGTGGCCTTTATGGTATTCCCATTGTCCATTCTCTGAGCGTCTCTGTTTCAAATACTTCCGAACTGACATTTTTTTCCTTCCACCCAGTCATAATGAGATTAGAATAGAGAATGCTGTCCTCTGTCCCCCTCCATCCCTCCAGCAGGTAAAAGAGGTGATGGGACTGTCATCAGGGGCATAGTTTTGCCAGAACAACTTTTAAAAACTGTAGCATTCATGTTATAAAATATGTAACATATCCCGTCTAAAGAGAAAGCAACCAAACTTAGTTTTGTTGACTTATACAAGAGTGTCGATGTTCACTAAATCAGAAAGGTTGAGAATTTATTTATTTATTTATTTGAGAGTTTTTATGCGTTCACTTGAGCCAAACTGACAACACGTGCGGGGAAGCAAGATCTCCAATGCTTCCAGAAATGTTGGGAATTAAAAGGTATTAGGCATAGTTTAGAAAAGGAAAGTGGGACAAATCTAATTTTCATATATCCTTTTGAATTTCTTTGTTCCCCCCACATTTCTAAGAAACTTGCATTTACACAATTTTTGTCCTGTGTGCAAACGTACCAGGTTTGCTCCCGACAGTTTCAAGCTCTTTCAGGCTGCTTGAGAACAAATGCCTGGATGTGCACCGACAGTTTTGAACAGAAGAGGGCGCTAAGTCAGAGTGTCAAACACCACTCTCACCAGAGTGAAGAGGGATGGAGAGGGAGAGAGTGCGCAGGTGTTTCTTTCCGGGCAAATTATTCTCAGAAACTGAAATTGGCTTTGCCAATAATTTATTTAACACAAATTCAATGCTGGAATTATAATTTATAATTAATAATATTTCACAAACCAAAAGCATACAGGATAATGTCTCTTCATAAGCCAATAAAGAAATACATAATTCAGCCCAGCTGGTGTGGCTCAGTGGTAGAGCATTAACCCATGCACCAGGAGGTCACTGGTTCAATTCCTGGTCAGGGCACATGCCCAGGTTGTGGTTCAAATCCCCAGTGAGGGGCATGCAGGAGGTGGCCAATTGATGTTCTTTCTCATTGATGTTTCTATCTCTCTCTCCTTCTCCCTTCCTCTCTCTAAAAAATCAATAAAAAATATTTTTTTAAAAAGAAAAAGAAATACATACTCCAAACCATGAGAGATGAATTACACTGTTATTCCAAGCAAAGGAGAGTAGAATGAAAGAAATTCCAAATTTAGTTGAGGTGGACCTTTCTAAGAGTTGGTTCGGTGGAGTGAGCCCGATGCAAGGGCTAACAAGCAAACGGTCTAAGGAAGAGACAGCCTTATCACAAGAGACAGAGGATCCAGAGCTGAGAAGCCTCTATAAACAAACCCCTGTGAATTTTACTGATTCACTGCCTTACACTTCCATTCTGCTTCAATTCCTTACTGACTACATACTCCCAAACCTAAGCTCCTTTGTCTTATCACATCCCAAACAAATCAAAACATTTAAGGTTTCTTTATGTAAAGGATATATAAATGAACTGTTCCACTTCTCTCACGAAGAATTATCCTTTTAATTCTCTCGTGTAGATGTAACAAACTTTTCTCCTGTTATTCTGCCCTGTATCGATTTTGAGTAGCCACAAGAACTCAAGAAGGACATTCCCTTTCCCTGACAGCCTGAAGGTCACAATCAATGTCTCCTGCAGCCAGCTGGCTTCAGAGAGTAAATCCAAACTGCCAAGAGAAGCAGAGAAGAAAGATGGAGAGGGAACTTCTTGAAAATGAGTGGCTTTGTCACAATTGTCCTTGCCTGTCCCATGGTTTGGATATGTGAGCCAATAATTTATCATCATATTTGACTAAGCTGGCTCAAGTTAGTTTTTGTCATGTGCCATCAAGAGTCCTGATAATTCAGTGGATGAAGTCCAAAGTTCTTCTTTTCTTCTTTTTTTCTGGAGACAATGACAATTCTATAACCCTCAGCATTAATTTGCTCTCAGCATATGCTATTTATACCAGGGATACTACTAAAAATGATTTTTGCATTTCAGGGGGGCTACAGACCAATTTACTTTATAATTTTAAAAGGTATGGATTTTACTCTCTCATATCTTAAAACATTTCTCCAAAATGGCCATTTGCTACTTTTTTTTGTTTGTTTGTTTTTATTTTTATTTTTTTAAGAGAGAGAGGAAGGGAGTAGGAGAGATAGAAACATCGATGAGAGAGAGATCGAAGCATCGACATTGATCGGCTGCCTCCTGCACCCCCCTTTGGGGAGGTCGAGCACGCAACCCCAGCATGTGCCCTGGCTGGGAAAATTGATCCAGCAACCTCTTGGTGCAAAGGTAGACGCTCAGCCACTGAGCCACACCACACCAGCCTGGCTTTGTGCTTTTTTTTTTTTTTTTTTTTGGTATGTGCCCCTAGCGGGAACCGAACTTGAGACTCTCTGGTCCGCAGGCCGATGCTCCAACTGCTGAGCCACACCCGCCAGAGCTGTGCTACTTTATAAGTAAGAAAAAAGGCCAACCTTATTCTAAAAATAAGTATGGTGATTAGAAATAAATCTTCAGATTCGAAAGGATAAAATTCATATTTGTTTGAAGGCCTTTAAGATACTTTCCCACATTTTGCTCAAAATTGTTAACAGCAGGAAAGTTTCCTCCTTATGATTTATTTCTGCTTTGATAGTGAAAGTGGTCTGCCTGGTTCTGAAAGCAAAATGCTTTACTGTTTAAAAATGTTTATTTCTTATTTTCCCCCATTCATTTAAATATTCATAATCTTGACAATAAGCTACCTTCACCCTAATACTACTAGTAATGTAAACCAGATGGAACTGGGACCTCCCCACCCTTCAGAGATTTAAGAAAACTTGGTGCCAGCACCTATTTAATTTATGGACTATGCGAGTCCAGGTCCTGCTTTGAGATTTCTGAGAATTCCTCGAGGTTAGTTTCCTCGGGACACCCCGTGTTTCTGCCTCAGGCCGAGAGGGACATTGGATGCACACGATCTCTTCACAGCTTCCCACCGGAGTTCCACACCCGCCAAGCACTTTGTGAGGCTAAGATCTTTCCCAAGGACTTGTGGGATTGCTGGACGGATGCATCTCACGGGGCACAGCCAGCTTTCTATCATCTCAGTGGCTGCCCTGCTACCCTTGCCTCTCCAGGGCAATCAACACATTCCTCTCCTTATTCTGGGTGGGCCAGTTCTTCACACTAGGTCCCAGCTTCTAAGCAGGCTAATCACAGAATTTCCCAACAAAGGTGGGTTTCATTCCTAAGAGAAATGATCACACCAGTTGCTGGAAGAATTACATTTCTGGGTTTGTTCAACAAAGACAAAGGAGTATTTGCCACCTACCTGGGTTAACGGAGCTCCGTCTGGCTGACAACTCTGTCATCCCGCTGATCAGAAAAGTTGCTGGGTGGTGCTGAGAGTTTCCCGGTCTCTATCTCTCCATGTGGCCCATTCGGAAAATGTGAGCTGTGAAACAGGAAAGCCTTCCTAAATAAGCATACGCAGGGAAAAAGTGTCATCTCTGACGATGGAATCTTTTAACTGATAGACTGTAGTCATATTAACGTCCTAGGAATTGTGTCGACTATTTGTCACCAAATTTTTGAGCTTACTTGGTGTTATTCATTTAAAAGTTGGATACAAAATTGTTGCAGTCAGTTACAAATCTAGGATTACATATTTCTTGGTGTCCTGGCATTATTTCCAAGGTACCTTCAAACCACAGATCGTGAATTACTACTTTTAAAGACCAGTTTCTATAAAAATGTCCCTAGTAAAACTCAGGGAAGCCAACCAAAGTCAACATTAATCCTCAAATAATTAACAGTCCAACTCTGGTACGTGAATAACTCTTTATTCAGGAAGTTATTCGGTGTCACCTGGGGGAGTTCTTACAATGAAGAATTTTGCAGAAAAAGGTAAAGACAGCTTTAGAGGGTAGGAAAGTTATTGAGGTATTCATGAATGTACATTTCTTTTGATTGAACTTTATGAATTTATAAAAATTAAAATCAATGTAGTTCAATATTTTGGGGAGAAACATCTGAATTTATGGTTATTTTTTGAGTGAATCATATGTACCAGCACTATTTGAGTCACTGCAAGGATAGAGTTGTGTATCCCTGTCCCTGTCCCCAAGAAACTTGTAACAGGGTAGACACAACAGTGGAATAATAATAGCCAACCCTCATAGAGTACTTTATTTTATAGGCACTATTCTAAGAGCCTCTCATTTAATGCTTTACAGGCATATGAAGAAAGTGAGACAGAGAGACTACAGTTAATATTTACTGAATACTAATACATGCCAGAACACTATTTTAAGTGCTTTATATATATTAGATGATTTAATTTTCACTGAAAGCCTAGAAGGTATATAATATTATTTTACAGATTAAATACATTAATCCTTACAAGCTTATTAATTAGGCCCTATTAGCATTCCTTTTTGCAGATGTAAACTGAGGTGTAGAGAAAATAAGTGATTAAATAACTTGGCCAAGATTACACATTGAGTAAGTGATGGAGCCAGGGACCAAACATACCTAGTCTAATGCCAGCGTCTGTATTTTAACTACTCTTAAATTACTTTCCCTACTCTGCAATTCCATTATATGTGCATTTAATTTACATGAATTCAATCATATGCATTGAGAGAACTTAAATGGGTAAGGCAGGTCCTCTGCTCATTCTCCTCAGTTGGCACATGCTTTGGAGAGAATGCATTATGGGGTATGAACTGTCCTGCATGGTTCTGTGACTCTCAGAGTGTGGATATTTCATCCAGCGGAGAGTGACTGTAGCTTTGACGACTCTGTAGTGCTTATAATGTGGGCCAGTTCACTTTGTCTGGGGTGCCACGTGATGTCTTTAATGCTGGAGGACAGTGCAGCTGATCTGGGAAGATTTTTGTGTTGCTCTCTAAATTGGTGCCTTCTTGCCTGGCTGGTGTGGCTCAGTGGATTGAGCATCGTCCCATGGACTGAGAGGTTGCGGTTAGGTTTCAGTCAGGACACATGACCGGGTTGCAGGCTCCATCAGTCCCCAGTGTGGGGCGTGCAGGAGGCAGCCAATTGATGTTTCTCTTTCATATCGATGTTTCTATTTCTTCCTTCCCCTCTCTCTAAAAAAATCAATAAAAACATATTTAAATTAGTGCCTTAAGAAATTTCCAGAAATTTTTTGGAATCGAACTTTTTCTTTTCTTACTTGCTCACTGACTTTGGGGCCTAACCCGTGTAAGATGTAAGGCTGCTGTATACAATGATCATAACTGAGGGCAAAAGATAGTGTCATTCGCAAAGTAAGAACAAAAAGCTTTGATGAGTCAAAGGAGTGCAAAAATCACTTAGTGTGGCGGATGGGAGGTTCTTTGGGAAGTCAGGAGAAACTTCATGGAGGAGGCTATTTGACATAGTCTCTATAATTATTATTATTATTATTATTATTATTTTTAAATCCTCACCTGAGGATACTTTTTCCATTTTTCTTCAGATAGAGTGGGTGGGGGGAGAAAGAAACATCAATGTGAGAGAGATGACACATCAATTGGCTGCCTCCTGCATGACCCCGACCAGGGCCAGGGACAAACCTAACTGAGGTACGTGCCCTTGGCTGGAATCGAACCCGGGACTCGTTGGTCTGCGGAACCACGCTCTAACTGCTGAGCCAAAGCGGCCAGGGATGACATAAGCTCTAAAGGACAGTAGCCCTGACAGCCGGAGAGTGGCACTGTGAGCAGGGAGGGACGCAGGGTGGGAAAGCTCAGGGGGTGGTCGGCGAGGAGCCAGCTGTGGCTGGAGCCAGGACTCCCTGGAGAAAAGCGGTGGGAAGTAGGCCCGGCAGGAGGTGGCGGGCCACTGTACATGGGCCTTGTCGGGGCGGAAACGGTTTTCCTCGGCCCTCTTAGGGTGCCTGGCTAGGTCTGAAAGGTAAATTGACAAAGAAAGATTAACGGGAGAAAAGCATACAGATGTATTTAGTATAAATTGTGCATGACAATGGGAGCCCTAGTAAGGAAAAGAAGACCCAAAACACAGACCTGAGTATTTTGTGCTGGTTTGAGGAAGGGTGGACAGCCGTGGGGGAATACGATAGGCTGCGGAGCAGAAGGCTTGTCAGGACCCTTCCTGGTGTCCATTTGTCTTCGGATGAGATATTCCTTTCCTCCGGGTACAGAGAGAGCACCCCTCATACGAGGGTTTTACGGCCTGTGTCAGGGAAGATGGGGTGTGTGGGAGGAAGAGGCCAGAGTGACCTTCCTGTTTCTGCTGTTTTATCAAACTCCTTCAGTTTAAAATATTCAATATGCCAAGGCGCCATATACTGGGGTGATGTGCCCTGAATCCCATTACCTTCAAAGCCAAGTTGATGAGTTTCTACTCAGAGGTTCAGAGTAAAGACTTCAATTGAGCTCTGCTTTAGGAAGATTAATCTGGCAGGGAGGTATAAAAGCAGTTGAAAGCAGGGTCGTGTTAAGCATATCAGTTACAGGTCTAATGCAGTTATCTGGGGAACATATAATGGAGTCTTGTATGAGACACCTTGGTTTGCAAAAAATGGGAACCATCTTGATGTAGCCTAAGATGAAAGGGAGAGCATATTATAAAGGAACTGAGGTGATTCAGGTGGGCACTGGGCCCCAGGTTAATGAGATGTAACTTCAGGGCCTCTTACTTAGACTGACTGCTATCGAGAACCTGGGTTAGGCCCTAGCAATATACACTCACACTGTCAAGCGTTTTTGTAAGATTTGTAAAAGTCAGTCATTTTAATGACAGCTGACTGAGATCACTCACTGTATCTCTACTTACTCACTCCTGGAGCCTGTCCCAGCCACTACGGGCTATTTTTTCTCTTGGGACAGGGCTGGAAGCAAGGAAAGCTGACTCCACAGTACCTGAAGTCGGGTATGACTTCAGTCTTTTGTTTTCTTTTTAGGTTCATGTCTTAGAGAGACTAACCATTTCTAATCCTTAGATGGAACATTGAAACACTTGCCAACTTGGATCTCTCTTTAGGATCTACATATAACAAGCCTTTGCATTGTGGGCACAATGACAAGCTGAGGATTTCAAAATACATTTTTTGAAGATTCAGAAAGAAAACTTATATACAAACAAGACATAAAATATTCATTAAAAAAGGTGATAAAGCTTGAGTGCATTTTAGCTGTAATTTGAATAGATACTTTGGAACATTTCAAGAAAATAAGACTAGATTCCTGATTTGAATGGATATAGAGGGTACCTCCTTTTATCATTTAAAAGTTTATCTACTGCCTGTCTGGTATAGCTCAGTGGTTGAGCACTGACCCATGCACCAAGAGGTTGCTGGTTCGATTCCCATTTGGGGTACATGCCTTGGTTGTGGACTTGAACCCCAGCAGGGGGTGTGCAGGAGACAACTAATCAATGTAGATGTTTCTCTCTCTTCAATGTTTTGATCTCTCTCTCCCTCTCTCTGCCTCCTCTCTAAAAACCAATAAACAAAAAACATTAAAAAATAAAATAAAAGCTTATCTACTGAATTTATATATATGTATACTTAGATAATTAAAGAAACAAAAATGATAAAATGATGGTCATAACAAAAATTATAATTCAAGATCATAATTTCAGATCATGCCAAAAGCAAAAAGATAAATTTGAAAATGAGTAATCGCTGGATTATTTCATACCACAATTAACAAAGAAGAGTGAATTATATGAACACATTAGCAAAAGATGTGGCTGATTTGACATTAAATAGTGACATCATAGAGATGCCATGATACTCATAATGACTACTCACTGACCATTCAATAGCAAACTAATTGATGAATGTTTTCGATTCAAAGAATATTTAAGATTGGTCACTGCATAAGAACATCGGAGTGTGCTGACATGCTGCTTCTACATGAGAGACAAAATGAGGGAAGTTCCCTTAAATTGAAAACAATCCTAATAACTTATATGAAATTAACCAATAACAGGGTGTGAGGCTGATAGATACTATTCTAAATTATCCATAGTAAGAAAACTTTAATTTTCTAAGCTAGAAGAAAATTTTAATTATCTTTCTATTCTCTCCATAGAAAATAATATTGCAAAGTCGTCACATTAAGAAATAATGTGCCCTGGCCGGTTTGGCTCAGCAGTTAGAGCGTTGGCCTGAGGTCCAGAGAGACCCGGGTTGAATTCTCGCTAAGGGCACGTACCTTAATTGCAGTTTGTCCCCAGCCCTGGTTGGGTCGTGTGGGTGGTAACCACTCGATGTGTCCCTTTCACATCGATGCTTCTCTCTCTCTCTCTCCCTCCTACTCTACCTGAACAAGAAATGGAAAAATGTCCTTGGGTGAGGATAAAAATAAAAAAAAAGAAATAATGTGATAGTATGTGTCCAATAAATCTAGGAAAATTATTTTAGAGGTATGTCAGACAGTTGCTTAATAAAAAAGTATAGTACATTTTATTTTTCTGGGTTTTATAATATTTGAGGTAATGATCAGTTTTTAAACATCTATAATTTTTGTGATTTCCCATTCTAAATAAATATGCATATTCATATCTAATTCTGTATCAATAATCCTCACCTGAGGATATTTTTCCATTTATCTTCAGATAGAGTGGGAGGGAGAGAGAGAGAAACATCGATGTGCCCCTTCTCATATCCATTGGTTGCCTCCCGCATGACCCCAACCAGGACTGGGAACTGAACCACAACTAAGTACGTGCCCTTGACCGGAATCAAACCCGAGACTCTTTGGTCCTCAGGCTGATGCTCTAACCACGGAGAAAACCAGCCAGGGCAATAATTCTCTATTTTTTAAATAGAGGGTCCTTGCATTGTATAAGCGTCAGGTCCTGTGAACGTTTTGAATGGATTGGATCCAGAGGGCTACCAGGAACCCACACATTTCTCCTTTGCTCTCTATTTTCTGCTCCTCCCTGGGCGTGAGCCACAGCTGAGAGCTTTCCCTGCTCTGTTTACATATGGCAGCTATGGCTCCCTCACGACAGGCAGCACAGACAGGTTCCAGGCACATGAAGAGGCTATGGATGGCCTGTTGGTCCCAATTCCAAATTCCCGAGAGAACAACTGTGATAGGCCCAGTTTAGATGAGGTGCACCTTGCTGGTGCAATCAGTCAGTGAGAGCCAAAGAGAACAAAGTCACATGGCGTCAGCACGGTGCTGGGGCAGGACCAGTCAGTGCCTGGTGGCAGAGAACAGGGTTGGCTCCCACTGAGGTTGAACTGGAGGGGTGCTGAGTAGGAATGTAAGTATATGAGAACAGAAGGAAAAGCTAGAGAGCTCCACAGCTGATGAAGTTCGAGTTGGGAGGAAAAGAAGAATGTTCACTCAGTATGACTCAGTTCACCCTTTATGACTCAGTATGGGGGTGGGAGTGATAATCAAAGTGTGAGTCACAGGGAAAGACTAAAATCTCAGAGCTATAGCAGGTAAATCAGTTGCCCCTCCTAATCGGGAAATTCTCTTTCTTGGGCTAATCCTTGAAGGCTTTGATATATTTGAATAAGGGAGGTTATATTCCCTTATAATATTTCAAAGTTCATTTGTTATCTGTGAGGATATTTATTTATATTTATTTTTTAATTGTTTGTCTGAAGGAGACTGGCAGCATTCTGATTTAGTTATACTGCTAATTAACCTTCAACTATTTGTCTAACACATAAGAAATAACGCTGCTCACATATTCTGTAAGGATATATACATATGTATTTGTTAATCCTCACCCGAACATATTTTTTCCATTGATTTTTAGAGAGAGGGGGAGGGAAGTGGGGGGGGATCTATGTGACACACATTGATCAGTTGCACACGCCCTTGACCGGGAATCAACCAGCAACTCTTTGGTCCTTAGGCTGACACTCTAACCACTGAGGTACACTTGCCAGGGCCTGTAAGAATATTTTTAAAGAAACATTTTATTTCTTTATAGCTCATCAAGAAGACTTTTCAGCCCTGGCCGGTTTTGCTCAGTGGTTAGAGTGTCAGCCCGCAGACCAGAGAGACCCGGGCTCGGTTCCTGCTAGGGGCACGTACCTCGGTTGCAGTTTGCCCCTGGCCCTGGTTGGGGCCGTGTGGGTGGCAGCCACTCGATGTGTCCCTTTCACATCGATGTTTCTCTCTCTTTCTTCCTCCCTCTCTCCCTCCCGCTCTATCTGAAGATAAATGCAAAAATGTCCTCGGGTGAGGATAAAAAAAAAAAGATTTTTCATATGCTACCTTCTTAATACTATTATTTCAGACTGATGTTAACTTTATAAGTTCTAAAATTTAAAAAGAAAGTTTGTTACCTAGCATACTAAATGACCTTAGGCCCTGGTAAATATATGTATATTTACTGAAACTGCCTTGCCTTTTTTTGAAAATCAGATCTTTGAAATATTTTTGCCACAAGAACAGCTAGCACACCTGGAGTAGACAAAAGACTCTTGCTTTCTTATCTTACTTTCTCATTCCTTTTATCCCATTCACTTAAGTCATCCCCAAAACCTGCTACTGGAAAACAGGATCTCGGCTAAGATATTTCTGTGGGTAGAGAGTTCCGCAAAGTCAGTCACATACACTACACTCCTGTAGATTAGTCATTAATCTCCTTTCAAGATAGTTAGACCGTTTATAGAAAAACCTACTGTTGCCATTTGAAATTTTGCACTCTAAAAGACTTAGTGCTAGCCCCACCGGTGTGGCTTCGTGGACTGAGTGTTGTCCCAGGGACTGAGAGGTCCCTGTTGGGGTCTCGGTCGGGGCACACGCTCAGGTTTTGGGCTCGGTCCCCAGTGGGAGCATGCAGGAAGCAGCTGATCAGTGTTTCTCTCTTACATCGATGTTTCTATCTCTTTCTCCCTTCCTCTCTCTCTAAAAAAATCAATAAAAACATATTAAAAAAAAAATACTCAATGCTACCCAGTTGGGCTGATAACCAGAAGTGCATCTTTAACACAGACCTGTCCCGTGCTCTTCTCAACATGCTGCCATTGGAAAGTTTAGGGCTTCATGCCTTTGCTCTAGCATCTAGGTCCTGCCTCACTGCACAAGTATTACCTTAATGATGGAAGGGCTCTCTGGGCCACTAGCAAATAAAAATATTAAAGACTGCCCTGGCCGGTTTGGCTCAACGGTTAGAACATTGGCCCGTGGACCAATGAGTCCACGGTTCAATTCTGGTCAAGGGTGTGAACTTCACTTGCAGTTCGTCCCCCGCCCAGGGTAGGGTAGTGCGGGAGGCAACTAGTAGATGTGTTTCTCTCACATTGATGTTTCTCTTTCTCTCCCTCTCTCTCCTTCCCACTCTATCTGAACAAAAATGGAAAAAATATCCTTGGGTGAGGATTAAAAAAAAAAAAAATATATATATATATATATATATATATATATATATATTAAAGACTGAAAACTTCAATAGAATAACATAAAAATAGTTGTTATCCATCACACAAGTGTTGGAAAAATACCCAAATTGGCTTATAATAAACGTAAATCACCTTATAAAAATATATAGCACATTCAAAGGAAAAACTGAAAACCAAAATAATCTCGAACATAGGGTTATGGTTAGCTACAGATAAAACTGTCAAGTCTCTGCCTGAGTCCACAGTTTGCCTAACCAATTTTAGCTCTTTCCTATGATTTGCCTAAGCTCCCTGATTTCCCTACTCTGTTCCTGCTCACTAGGTACAGGCCTGTTTCTGTCATTCTGGACCTGGCTTCTTGCCCTCCAGCTCATTCAGTCCTTCCCTCTCCAGCAGGGGCCCTATCTAGTCAATTAAAGGGAGTTTGTTGTTGCTAAACTCCTTCCACTAGACTAAAGGGCATCAAATTTTCCAAAGACCTTCCTCTTCTCCAGTTCTTATCTCAGTGACCTCAAAAAGGGAGTTTGTAAAAATAAGAAAACCTGTGGATTCAAATTCCAACTCGGTTTAGTCATATTAACAAAAGCAAGTTACTTTTTAGGCCTCAGTGTCCTCAACTGTAGGATAATCAGGTTAGAGTAAATATATAATATTCCTGACAGCTCTAAGAGACTAAAGGCTAAAGATTGGGGACTCCAACCTTGCTTCTCCCATCTGTGGAAGCTTACTTCTCTTGTTTGCACTGGTCACAAAATGACCCAGTCTCCACTCAGTCACACTGGGTGGTAACAAAATTAATCCTTGTTAACATATTCATTTTATTTCTCCACCCATGTAACCAAATAAAAATGCACTTTGTAAGTGGGCTCTGAAATTCTCTACTAGCAGAATAGAAGCCACTTTCAGGCTTGTTGAGTTGTGACTAGACTCCTTCAGGGACCTCAAATCACATGTCAAAGGCATTGGCCCAATCATAAGGAGAGCACAGGACAGGGAGAAGCTGGCCTGGGCACGCTCTCAACCCTGGAGGCCACAATGAGGAGGAGGAGCAGGTGGAAGCTGAGCAGCCTGTGAAGAGCACAGAGTCTGGAGCCAGCAAAGATAATAATACCTTCCTAACTGGGTTGTTCTGAGAATTAAAAGATAAAAAAAAGTACACATTCAGTCAACACTGTTTAAGATGTTTAAATTTTAAAAGCATGTTGTGGGAACTTAGGCCTCTGACCACATGTAATATAAGTACAGATATTATCAATTACTATACCTATTCATGGACTCTTGAATATTAACTTTAACCATGAAACTATTTTTATGTCCCTCTCTCCTTCGCATTAGGGAAGTGGACAGTCTTTCATGTAGATTTACAGTATTTTAAAACTCTCAACTCCTCTTCCCATTTATTCCATCCTTTTCTGTCTGGTATTCACATTTTAATTATGGTCTTCCTGTGACTTTATTACTGTCCATATTGATTGACTTCTTATCTTGGCCTTAAATTTATCTCTCTTTGCTTAGCAGTCTGTCATCAGTAGATACGGTGCAGCAGACGGGAAGAACGGGATGCAGGAGCCACAGGCTGGAGTGGGGGGAATATGTTGATAACCAGCGGAGAAGGGAAGGTCTGGAAAGAGGGAGATAGGGAACATGGCCAGAAACACTCAGCCATCTGCTATGCTGCCTGCTCTGCGGGCAGAACAGGGATGCCAAACAGAGGTGAGTAGGGTTGCAAGGTGGCAGTAGTGTCCTATGGATTTGGGGGACTAGAACCTGAGGCTGGTGTCAAAGCTGATGCAGAAAGCAATACTTTTCATCCCTGATGTTTGGACAAGAACAGTTAAAACAAGGCTGTATCTTAAAAGTAGTAGTGGTTAAGAGCAGAGGCTCTGAAAAAGGATTCAACCTTCAACTCTGCTGTCTGTCTACTGTGTAACTTGGAACAAGTGGCTTGTCTCTTACCTTCAACATGAACTTCAATGTGAAGATGAAGATAATTATATGGAACCCATAAGATTAATGAACAGAGAGTATATAGTAGTATGCTGATACTGGCCAATATTAGTGTTTTTATGGCTGTTATTATTTACTATAACTGAAATAATGCCCCCCACTCTGATTAGCTTGCCAATAGGAAAAACCTCCAGAGAAGAAAGCAAATAAATAATGGGGAAAATAAGGCTTTGTTTTGTTTTCCTAATCTTTAAGGTGACCTGGGAAATAAATTTTAAAAATTCTGTTAACTCATTTTAACTTAGTAGCCTGCGAGAAACAGAGCTAAATGCCCTTGAAAACTAGTCAAATTACAAATATGGAAATTTATTTCAGATCTTTCCCCATGAAAGACATTTATCTTTGTGTTTTAATTAACTACTGTAGCACTCATCCTGAATTTTATTAAGAAATAAATTTTATTCAGAAACTTTAAAGATTAATATGATCTTAAATCACTAATAAAATGTCTTAAGGTATATTTTATTTGGAATTTTAATTTTATAATAAAGGAGGCAAAGTCTGCTTACACGAACTGGTTTTAACATTGAAAATATTACAAATTCTAATTAGAATAAAATGTAAACCATCTTAAATACTTTATAAAGCAATAATATGTTCTTTAATTTACCTGTGGATAGAATTACTAAAATGCTTCCAACTAAAGTACTAGTTTATTTTTTACTTTTAAAATATGTTTTTATTAATTTCTTAGAGAGAGTGGAAGAAAGAGAGAGCTAGAAACATCAGTGTGAGAGAGAAACAGGGATCGGCTGCCTCCTACATGCTCCCCACTGGGGAATGGAGCCCAAAACCAAAATGGGGCATGTGCTCTGACCAGGAATCGGACTGCGACCTCAGTCCATGGGAGGATGCTCAATCCACTAAGACACATTGGCCGGGCTACAGTACTATTTTATTTATTTACTTATTTATTTATTTAATCCTCACCCGAGGACATTTTTCCATTTTTTTGTTCTGATAAGAGTGGAAAGGAAAAAGAGGAAGAGAGAGAGAGAGAGAGAGAGAGAGAGAGAGAGAGAGAGAGAGAGAGAGAGAGAGAGACATCGACAGGAAATGTACACATCGAGTGGCTACTACACACACGACCCAACCAGGGCCGGGGACAAACTGCAACTGAGATAGGTGCCCTTAGCGGGAACTGAACCCAGGTCTTTCTGGACCGCAGGCTGACCTCTAATCGCTGAGCCAAACCAGCCAGGGCTACAGTACTATTTTAAAGACAAGGTTGCTTTAAAAATACATCAAGAACTAAAATTATGACATGACTTGAAGTTATTTATTTTCCTAGAAATATAACATGGTAAAGTTACACAAGCAACTCATGAGGATTCAATTTCCCTTCTATATTCAAAA